AAACGACAGTTAAAAGAAGTCATCGATTCTCATGACAGTTGTAAAATTGACGACAATGATATAGGAATCAAATCAGAAATTAAGTATCTTGGACTCATTCTCTCTTCTGATCTCTCCTGGTCTTCCCATGTCTTAGCAATCTCCAGTAAAATATTCCGCCTGACATTTTACATTAAGAAGTTAAGACACTCGGGTATAACTCAACCCATCCTCTTACAGTTCATAAACTCTTGCATCCTACCTATTCTTCTTTATTGTTCACCCTTATTCTTTCCTGGTTTGCTTAAAAAAGACTATGTCACAATTCGTAGAATACTGAAGACTGTCAGTAGGGTGAGTGGTGTCCCAGTGGACCACATAGTTAACGTCGTTGTCGATAGGCACTTGACTTCGTGCAATAAATTTGCTAAAGGGATTTTGTCTGACTTGGAGCATCCGCTTTACCCTCAGCTTTCACCTTGCATCTCCTCAGGTAGAACAAGGAGTAACTTCAGAAAACTGTATGCTCGCACGTCTAAGTATAGAAATTCTATGATACCATACTTGGCACGTATTTTATGTGATGAAAATAGTGTCAGGCAAGAATTAACTAACCTTTTTTCATCTAGTAAATAAACAATTTCCTCCATCATCCATCCTTATATACCTTCAAGTTTTACTTTTATTACTTCTATTATATTTATGGTCCTGTTACTTCTCTGTTTTACTCTCATAATTGCAAACACCAACTTATCTCCATGACGGCTGTAATCTTTGTTTTTCCCCTCACCATATCATGTAAAGAAAACATTATATTCAATATTTTTAAACATGTTAGGATTTCTATACCACATTGACAATACTGTGTGACACAAGCCAACGGCAATTTTCACTTGTATTATTATTATTACCCTAGCTGTTATCATTATTATTGCTATTTCCATTTTATATGCTGCATGTTTTTGACACTACCTCTATTGTAAATGTGGAAAATTTTCTGTGTGATTAATTTTATTTATAATTTGAGGAAATTAGATGCAATATTGTGATTAATGCTGAAAATTCCATTCTGTATCACAAGTACTGGTTTTGGAATAAAGTAAATCATTATTGTTAACTAATGCTTGTATGCTTATTTTTCTAACTACTTAAAACTCTTGCGTAATTCCGTGTGTTATTTTGTTTCCATGTTCACCCTGAGCACAACTCTTTCATCAAACAATTCATGTTATTACGCAACTCTTCTTTAACAATCGTTTGTGACAACTTACAACTTTTGTAACTACCCTCTTATGTCAACATCCAATTCATCTGAACTTACTAATTGTATTTTAGTTTGTCAAATTTAATTTACACACACACACACATACAAAACAACCGTATATATATTTGTGATTGTACAGCTATGAAATAGAATTTGCCGAAAAGAGACTCTTCGCTGAATTACTGGTCTTCCATCTATTTATGTTTGAATGGGGATTTTTTATGAATTAGTATTAATTATATACAAAATTATACGATAATGATGATAGTGAGTGTCACCATGCAATTGTAAATGTGGCAGAATAATTAAGTTCTCTTTTTATGCTAATTGCAGAATGAGTTAAAAGTTTCGCGCGTAAAATTATCTCTATCACAGAAAACGCTTCCGAAATAGGATATTGTTAGGTTTCTGTACTTGATTGTATGAGCATATAATCATTTATTATAATGACTTCTAGTCCAACTATCTGATGAGATGTAAGGCAGGGAGAGTTGAGAATGTAGAGGATGTTGAGGGTCAGACAATATGGATTTGGACTATTTCTCACACGATGAATTCGTTGAACTACTCGTCTTCTGTCTATTATTCCTAATATTATTATTCTTATCGTTTTTATATTTGTACATCATTTCGACCCTATTGCTTCTGCTAATCCCATATGTTGCTATTATCAGTTTTGGTTCAGTGTACTCTTTAATGTAATTTTCCGGTTGTTGATGAGCTAGTTAGATGCAATATTGCATCAAATGCTGAGGATTCCACACCGTTTCATGAGTACTGTTTTGGAATAATACAAATTATTACCGCCTAATGTCGACAGATCGAATAAATGGTGACAGTCAGTGAAATAGCTCAGAATTTTTGGATGATACCTGTCCTATTAATTTAATGATATTGTGACATTTTCTACATACACGCATAGATATGCATAGCGTATAGAAGGACATCTTTCCAAAAGGAATCATTAATTATATCCCATCTCAAATCATGGACAGATATCAGTTAGAAACATTTACAGCTCTTTTGACTTAATTTGACAATCTGCAACAATACGGAACCATAACCACCCTTCACAAGTGATCACTAGCGACTGTCTACAGAATGGGGTATTCGTAGTTCTAGTTTGAAGTCATGAATGCTGAGATCCACTAAGTGAGACATGAAGAAAGATACGCGATATCGGTTAGAATTGGCGCTACATATCACAAGTTAACAGAAATTAGAATCCATGAGCTATTGACTGTTGTCCCGGTAACTAAATGGCCCGTGGTCCTTGGTGAGGACGGTTTAAGGTGTTTACTGTAAAAGAGTTCAAGATTCGGACAAAAACAGTTGTCTATTGCTCCCTAGTTCTCAAAGGTTCTTTAACTGAACTCAGTTTATGATCTAGCTAGAAAATAATGGAATCGTTGCAAAGCAACACTTGAGATTTGATTAAAGCAAGAACAACAGTTTGTGCAGAATAGGATGGCACAGTCATTAATTTTTTTGGCTTCTCATCATCTGCTTAGAGCCCAAAGATATTACCAAGTGTATGTACACAAAAAATTTAACATTCTTGCAGTTTTCACATGATATCAGTTGACAGAGAGTTTAAATTTAAATTTTTAAAAATCACTGCATTCATACAATGGTAAAGGAACCACGTAATAAGGACAAGAGGTTAAACCATAAATGGCATAATCAAGTGAAAGAGAGAGAAGATAAAGGCAAGAAGTTACCAGGGCAAGGAAAGACTGACAACTGCTTCTTTCTGAACACATAAATTGGGTTTCAAGTGTTTGATAGAGATTACTTCAGCAGATTTGAGTAGAGCTGAGTTATACTGTCGATTAATAATCTTGAAGGATTTCACGGTGTTCACCTCATGAGTTGGATCGAAAAGATATCTGGCAATAGTACGTTTTGTTACATGTTCAGAGAATCTAAAATATTCCCTGTCTGTCCTACCAATGTAATTGCTCCCATAGATACATTTAGATTTGTATACACAGTTAAATTTAACTTGAGAAGGATATCTGTCGACTTTTGATTATACCTTAGAGAAAGTTTTCCAATAAAAGGGAACCAACTTAGCTACAGAACAGGCTCTCGTCACTGACGTATTCAACTTTCATGTTGACTAGTCCTGCAATATTATCACCTTGAAAATCGACTTGAATGAAGACAGGCTTTTTTTCCCAACTGTGATTTGTTTAACACTTCAGCCTTCATATCTTCCGTTCCTGTTAATTTATTTCCAAGCGTAGCCATTTTTTTCACACCCTCTGCAGAGCATAGTATCCTACCTCTATAACACAGAGTTTTGACTAATCCTCATTTATAGCGAGTGTTGGAAAAGAACTCTAAGAGGATGGTTATAAATCTGAGAAGAAACTTTAAAGGCGACAGACAATAAAGACTAAAATGTGTCTTATTTATTCATTATTATTATTGTATCTTTTAGTTCCTAGAGCAACATAGGGCTTCAGCTGCGCACCTCCATTGCCTTCTGTTTTCTGACAACGTTTTCACCCCGCTCCAGGTCTGTCCACATGCTTTCATCTCCTCTTCACATCACCTCCTTCAAGTCACCCTTGCACTGACGACCAACTCGCCGCCTCCGTTTCGGGTTCCACTCGAACAATTGCTTGTCTAGTGATGTCACTTGATGGTTTCCTCAGAGTACCGCCAGCCAATCCATCTCCATTTCTTCCTGCCTATTTGTTTCACAATCGGTTCCTGCTGAGTTGGTTCGCTCATTGCCAGCCATCCCTGTTGCTGATCTTTTCTGGCTGGCCGTCTGATCTTGAGTATTGAGCAAAGACAGCTGTTAATGAAGGTCTGAAGTTTGTTTTAGATGCTCTTTATGACTCGCCAAGTTTCTGATCCGTATGCAGTAGCACTGACTCACTTCACCTCGTAGTTGAGAATCCGGATGTTATTTTTGATGGTGAGTAGTGCTGTTGACCTCCACACAGACTTGGTGAGAGTAATGAAAGCTTGTCTTGCTTTTCCGATGCTCTCTTTGATATCCTCGTCAGTTCCGCCTGTAGTTGAGACGATGCTTCCCAGGTAGGTGAAGGAGGTTGTTTCTTTCAGGTTCCTCCCATTTATGCTGGCTGATTGTTGTCTGTTGTTGTTGTTGCCGTTGATGTTGGCCAGGAACCTTCATCACCTCTGTTTTATCTATGTTCACTTGAAGTCCTTCCTATCTTTGATGCTTCTTCTGCCAACTTGTTACTTTTCACTTGCATATCTTCCAGTTTGTGAGAAATCAGACATATATCATCGGCGAAATCCAGATCCTCCAAGTCTTTTGTGTCAGTCCATTTTATGCCTGTTCCCTCGTTGGTTGCCGTTGTCTGTCGCATTATCCAATCCATTGCAATCAGGAAGATCATTGGTGATAGTAGGCAGTCTTGCCTCACTCCCGTCCTCACTTCGAAGGCTTCCGTAAGTTTCCCGTTGTGGATTACTTGGCATGCAGCATTGTCATATAACTGTTGGATGAGATGTATAATTGTCGGTGGGACCCCGCAGTAGCGAAGTAGTTGCCAAATCACCTCTTGATCGACGCTGTCGAAGGCCTTTTCAAAGTCGATGAAGTTGAGATAGAGAGGTGACTGCCATTCCAAGCTTTGTTCTTATTTAGAATAGCTTATATTACTTATAATTTCATGAATATTTTCATTATGTAATTAGTAAAGTTTAATTTTATTTTTATTTCTTCATTTATTCTTTTCTTTAAATTCTTTGAAATTTTAAAAATAAAAAGGTGACGAATGATTTGATTCCATTCATGATTATTTTAACTGTGATTATGGTTGGTTATGCGGTAGCTGCTCAATCGATCGCTTATCCTAATGGTTTATTCACTAAAGAGAATATGACACTGAGTAAGTTTCTTGTCATGGTAATAATAATAATAATAACAATAAATTTTATTGATTTTTCCTCTATGAATGAGTATCCAAAATACTCATAGTATTCAGCCGTTGTATATGCAGAAGGAGACAATTAGTGTTATATGACTAAATACAAGAATAGAAAGGATAAAAAGCGTTATTAAACTTGGTGATGCATTTAAAAAAGTCACAAGAATATTCTAGAGTTCAGAGAAGAAGTTCCCTTGATAAATTTCGATAGAAAAGAACAACAAGTTCGTTTCACACGAATGTTCCAATGGGTATTTTACACGATTTGAAAGCACATTTCGATAGAGCAAGAAAGGCCAGGTTATAATCATTTGTTGGTTAACCAAAATTACAATGATTCACATTCATTGTTGGAATGTGACAGTCGAGGAAATTTTTACGTAAAGTGGGACATTCAGAATGTAATCATCACAGTGCTTTCAATTAAAGTCATTACTTTTTTTTTACTCCTTTACATTTCCAGGGGAACATAGGCTTCAAGCTAGAGGTTTGAGGTTTCTGTAGCAGTGGTTTATCTACTTTTACAGATTGGTTTGCTAACCACATGCCCAACCTTCCTTCTTTATCAGTCTTATTACTTGCTTAGCGAGGTAAAGAAGTGCATCATCCAGAAATTGAATATACCCGACTGGTGAGTATTCTAACACTGTGCTAGTAACACGAAGTTATCTACCATTCATGTATATGCGAAAATAGAAAATCAGAGGAGTGAGAGTAGATAGAAAAGTGGAAAAAATTATGAACATAACCAGCTTATGAGAATATTGTGCTTTAGTTCACCAGATTGAAAATAGCTCAGTAGGCAACAATCACTAATATAAATGATTATTCGATAAATGTAATCGAAATCGAGGTGCAGTCACCAGACTTATAACATTCTATTTTCTTCATGTAGGGCCTTGGTTGAAGGTGTCCCATTATGACAGCTACTGAGAATCTGCTTTCGCTGACTTACACCATCTCTGGCGTAGGCGTGACATCCGGTTATCAACCAAGGGACGTGTGTACTGCTCATCAGTTCGCTCCGTCCTTCTCTATGGCTCTGAAACATGGCCAATACGCGTTGAAGACATGAAAAGGTTGACTGCTTTCGATCATAGATGTCTGCGATCTCTGTCTCACGTTAGGTGGTTTCACAAGATAAGTAATGTTGACGTTAGGCGTAGAGTGTTGGGCAAAGAGGGAAAATCAATCGACGAGGTTATAAAGTTACATAGACTAAGATGGCTAGGTCACGTGGTGCGCATGCCTAACCCCCGCCTTCCCCGTCGGGCATTGTTAGCTGATATAGGTTCAGGTTGGAAAAGAGCCAGTGGTGGCCAAACAAAAACATGGCCTCATCAATCCATGAAATCCTTGACAGTTAAACTGAGTCAGGTGGGGAGATGCAGACTTCCGGGTTGGGGTCCTCGGGACTCTAGGAATCAATGGCTGGAGACAATAGGTGACATGGCTCAAAATCGTTGTCAATGGCGCAGATGTATTCAATCTCTGTAATCTTTCATATTCCTTTCTACCATTACCCATTCTGTTTCACTCTTATATTTGTCAAACTCTATTGATTCTCTTCACTCATCTTCTTGTCTACCTCTGTGTGCTATTTGGAAGGTGGCAACTCGAACTGCTGCACTTCGGTGCCAAGTTCTATGTTGAATCCAGACAGACAGACAGAGAATCTGCGAAATAAGATGATATCAATTTCTACTGAAAATTTTGCCCTTTCTTGTTTTATCCAAGTTGAAAATAGGCAATCCATCTTAAACTAGAAGTTAATTGGTGCATGATAACTAGCAGTGGAATCCAGGATGCGCATTTCGTCCTATTTGACAGTCGTCATCTGGATGTACCTGCATTCTGCAGTGAGCGATGATATTTTCACCAAGGTTCAAACCCAATGTTAACAGTTTCAAACGCCAAAGATTTATCGACTACACCACTTGGGTCACAAGAGCCACCTCACTGAGAAATGCAGGTACATCCAAGGTACATGCAAGGAAACTGTATTAAGCCAACACACTTAGAGGACTGATACATGTGTGTACCCTACTAAGCAACTTATCCTTGCTTAGCTAGCATTAAACCCGATAAGGAGGGAAGGTTGGGAGTGAGGCTAGCAACACCATCTCGTAAAGATAGAATCAGTGATACTGAAACGTTAAGGCCCTAACTTGAAGATTTATGTTCCACTGGGAACTTAAAGGAATGGAATAAAAGAAAGAGTATTGTGCTGTCTGTTTTAAATGGTTCAACGGTTTTTATCCTCCTTTATTAACTCTAAAATATTTTTATGGTCTTTTTCCTAGGTATGTAAGTTGATCAATGTCTTTTATGCCTTCCATCCTATTATTTATTCAATTAAGTAACCTGAATGGCCTTTATCTTCATGCTTTATAGCTAAAACATGAATATATTTGCTATATGATTACTTAGCAAGGTTGATACATGTTCGATCACAAGTTTATATCCGTTAGAGAACCACTGGACAACCTTAGAATACTGGACAGCTGTTTCATTCTAGTCTGAGAATCATCGGTGTTACTCATCCACTGAGATCGAACCCAGGAACTTCCAGTTATACGGCAAGTTCGTAGACCACTCAACCACTAGAAAGCGATCCACTGGTAGCTCACCATCATGGTGCACATTGACTTGATGATATTAGATGGTTCGAGGCAATTGGCAGGAAGCCTAACACCTAGGTTTAGTGCTAGTTGACACTCACCAGTCAGCAAGGCGTATCTGCAGATTTGAAGGAACTCATGTCCCTTCTGAGATTCGAACCCGCGTCACCCACAGCCACTGGCAGAATTCAGTTTGCACCAAACATAGAACTAGATACACCTTACACTAGTTACTAATGTCCAATCTAAAATATCCACTATAGTCCTACAGGAGGTCAGTCGCGAGCCCGAATAGCTCAGTGGTAACGTTTCTGACTGCAGCACTGGGTGACGCGGGTTCAAATCTCAGAAGGGACATGAGTTCCTTCAAATTTGCAGATACGCCTTGCTGACTGGTGAGTGTCAACTAGCACGAAACCTAGGTGTAAGGCTTTCTGTGGCCAATTGCCTCGAACCATCTAATATCATCAAATCAATGTCACTGTGATGGCGAGCTACCTAGAGTGGTGGCCACACTGTAAACCTGACTGATAGAATCCTGTCTGTACCGAAGAAAGGACTAGACAAATCGCACTAGTTACTAGTGTCCAATCAAAGTATATATATATATATTAACCCCTCTCTCTATTCCCACCTAACTATATTACTTTTTAATACTTGCATCCAGCCCCTTACACAAAATACGGTGATGTGATTATGAGCAGTAATTTATGCTCGAAACTTTGCCATCCACTTGTTAATACTGCGTCATCCCTGTGTGGTATTCAAAATAAACTACCACAATGCCTAAGTTGTACGCTTACAATGATAAATTTGTTATCGTAACAATAATGGCAAGTTATGTGCCGGATATATTTTTACGCAGAATAACAGATTATAATAGAGGTTTTTTGTATTTCCCAATGAATGAAAAAACAAAACGAGATTGTGTTTTTACTGACGTTTCGCTATTTAATGCTAATAGCTTTCTCAAAGTATTATTAAACCGGAATTTACAAAATCTCAGCATATATATAACAAAGAATTAGGGGGTGAGAAAAATATAGACTTAGTTCAACTTAAAAGGACATATTGAAAGTCAAAATAACAATGAAGATCGTTCAAACCAAATATCAAAGGTAATAGTATATCTGTTATTATATCAAAATAAAGTTTACTAACTTGATCATCGTTCGTTAGTCTGGGGTCATTTTTGGTTGTCAAGTTCGAGAATAGGTAGAGGTAACCAAACTAAGTGTAGAATGTGAAATACTTGATTATCGTTCGTCAGTATGAGGTCATTTTGGTTGTCATGTTGGGGAGTAGGTAAAGGCAAAATGACCCCAGACTAACGAACGATGATCAAGTTAGTAAACTTTATTTTGATATAATAACAGATATACTATTACCTTTGATATTTGGTTTGAACGATCTTCATTGTTATTCTGACTTTCAATATGTCCTTTTAAGTTGAACTAAGTCTATATTTTTCTCACCCTCTAACTCTTTGTTATATATATATGCTGAGATTTTGTAAATTCCGGTTTAATAATACTTTGAGAAAGCTATTAGCTGCATTAAATAGCGAAACGTCAGTAAAAACAGCAATCTCGTTTTGTTTTTTCATTCATTGTGAAATACAAAAAACCTCTATTATAATGAATATCATATACCCAATGCCCAAATTTTTTCAAACCGTTAAAAGTGAACTTGGTTTGGATATCTATAATAGAATAACAGATTAGCTATGGGTTGTCATAATATATAGTATTTGAGTGTGTGTTAAACGTGCTCTGGGCTGAATTTGGTTACAAAATATTGTGAAATCGGAGACAGTGGGTAAGGAAACTGGCATTTCAGTTGAAGGTTATAAAAGGCGTCAGGTGAGTGAGTGGCTAGTATGCATTGTAGAGGAGACAGTAAGACTGCAGTAGAAAGTTCATTATGAAATAACCAATATGTGTAAAGTGAAGGCAGCTGGAGACATACATATATTGAGAAAGGAGATCCTTACAAACCAAAACTATAGAAAGTTAATCTGATGCTCGCTAGTGACTTGCTACAGGTTGGAGTTTCCTGAGTTCTAGTGAGAAGTCGTGACCAGTGAGGTCCAATTAGATGTCACGTGTGTGGATGGATGTCCCACCAACGACAATGGTTGGGGTTGCGCTAAATCACGAATTGGTAGAAGTTAGAATTCACGAGCCATTGAATCGGGTCCCAGTCGCTGAATGGTATACGAGCTTGCCTTGTAACCGAAAGGTCCTGGGTTCGATTCCCAGTGGGTGCGTACTGCCGATGATTCCCAAACTAGGATGAAACAGCAGCTGTCCAGTACTCCCTGGTTTTCAATGGTTCTCT